GGCAAGATTCAAGGTAGTCGTATCCAAAATAGAAGGGATAAGCGACAAGGCTGCGCTCGAGGCTCTGAAACGATCTTTGTGGTACAAATCCGAGTTCCGACGGGAAATGGCTCTCAACACGTCGCAAACAATTCAAGACGCTTTGCACCGATCATCAGACTTCTTCGTAAACGAGGAGGAAATGAAAAACTTGGACGAGCAGTACGAAGCAACAAAAGCAGCAATCCGAAGCTCAATTTTGCTGCACCCCGCGAAGAAGGGCAACCCATCAAACAGCACAGCAACGCAAAGCTCGGATGAACCTAGGAGCGGAGGTGCCCATAACTATCAGGTAGGCACCGGGCACGGAAGAGGAGAGCTGCGCAACAACACTTGGGTGAGAAAATCCGCCAACTACGACGAGAAGGCTTTCTGCGAGTATCACCAAACCTACGGGCACTCAACGGCACAATGCCAAACCCTATGAGCAAAACTCGCGGCTAAGATTGCAGCGGGAGAGCTCCAAAACACGGTCAACCTCAAAGACCTCATCCCTAACGAACAACAAGACAGAGCCGAGCCGAGCGGCGCGGCGGAACCCGCAAATCCTTCCTGACGAGGCTGAATGTGGATCCGACCTTTAAGCCAGTCAAGCAGAAAAGAAGGAAGCTCGGCCCCGAACGAGCTAAAGCAGTTAACGACGAAGTCGAGAGGTTACTCAAAGTAGGATCAATTGCCGAGGCCAAATATCCAGACTGGCTCGAAAATCCGGTGGTCGTCAAGAAGAAGAACGGCAAGTGGCGAGTATGTGTGGATTTCACCGACCTCAACAAGGTGTGCCCAAAAGACAGCTTTCCCTTGCCACACATCGATCGGCTCGTCGAAGCCACTGCAGGGAATAGACTGTTAACATTTATGGACGCGTTCTCCGGCTACAATCAGATCCTGATGAATCCCGATGATCGGGAAAAAATGGCATTCATAACTGATCGCGGGATATACTGCTACAAAGTCATGCCGTTCGGGCTCAAGAACGCAAGAGCAACGTATCAACGGCTTGTCAATAAAATGTTCGCGGCTCAGCTCGGAAAAACCATGGAAGTGTACATCGACGACATGTTAGTCAAATCACTCAAGGAGGAAGACCACGTCGCGCATCTACGGGAATGCTTCGAACAATTGAACAAGCACAACATGAAACTAAACCCGGTGAAGTGCAGGTTCGCGGTCACCTCGGAAGAATTCCTCGGCTATCTGGTAACTCACCGAGGCATAGAAGCAAACCCCAAGCAGATCAAGGCGTTAATTGAGATGCCCTCTCCAAAGACGAAGCGCGAAGTGCAGAGGCTCACAGGAAGAGTCGCCGCGCTAAACAGGTTTATTCCCATTCCACAGACAAATGCCTGCCCTTCTACGACACCCTCCGAGGAAACAGGAAATTTGAGTGGAACGAACGATGCGAGATGGCTTTCCAGGAATTGAAGAATTATCTGGCGAGCCCACAAATCTTAGTGTCTGCTACAGCTGTAAGCGGAGTGCTTATCAGAGCAAAAACCCATTTTCTACATCAGCCAGACATTGACCGATGCCGAGACCCGCTACCCCCAGATCGAGAAGGTCGCCCTAGCCGTCGTAGTCTCGGCTCGCAAACTGCGCCCGAACTTTCAATCACATTCGATTGTTGTGCTCGCTACGCTTCCGCTGCGCTCGATCCTACACAGCCCTAGCCAATCCGGTCGGCTCGCCAAGTGGGCCATAGAGCTAAGCGAATACGACATCGAGTATCAGAACAGGTCGTCTGCAAAGTCTCAGGTGCTCGCAGATTTCCTCATTGAACTTCCCGCCGAAGCAACAAACGAGCTGAGTCTAGACGAAGTGTGGACGCTGCACGTCGACGGCTTGTCGTCTAAACACGGCTCAGGCATAGGAATCCGCCTCACCTCTCCCACCGGAGAAATATTGGAGTAGTCTTTTCGCCTGAACTTCCACGCCTCGAACAACGAAGCGGAGTACGAAGCACTGATCGCCGGCATACAACTAGCGCAGGGAATCGGAGTTCGAAAGATAATAACCTTTTGCGATTCACAGCTCGTAGCATGTCAGTTCAACGGAGAATACGAGGCGAAGGATGGACGAATGGGAGCTTACCTCAAGGTGGTCCGGGAGTTAGTGCAAAAGTTTGACGAGTTCGAACTCACGCTATTTCCCAGAGGAGAAAACACCTCGGCCGACGCCTTGGCAGCACTCGCTTCGACCTCGGACCCAGACCTCTGACGGACGATCCCAGTCAAATTCATCGAACGTCCTAGCATCAAAGATGTGGAAGGAGTTCGGCTTATAAATCCTCCTAAACAAGAACCAGAGGACGTCGAAGCCATTCCTATGGACGAAGACGCCTCACCGGCCAAGCCGGAGTACGGCTGCGACAAAGAATGGCTCGGAGCTATCAGAGTGTATATCGCTGATGGAGAGGTGCCGATCGACAAATGGGAAGCCCGCAAACTAAAAGCTCAAGCTGCGCGGTATGTCCTCGTCGATGGCGAGGTGTTTAAATGGAGATTTTCAGGGCCTCTCATGACATGCGTCGAAGGACCGGAGGCAAGAAAGATCATGCACGAGGTGCACAGCGGCGCGTGCGGGAACCATTCCAGCGGAATGTCGCTCGCAATCAAGATAAAACAGCACGGCTACTTCTGGCCCACGATGGTCAAGGACTGCGAGAAATTTACGGCAAAGTGCGAGAAGTGTCAGCGGCACGCTCCAAGAATTCATCAACCTACCGAGTTTCTCTCGTCAATTTCGTCACCTTATCCGTTCATGAAATGGTCGATGGACATCGTCGGACCTCTATATCGCTCGAAGCAGAAGCGTTTTCTACTCGTCTTCACAGATTACTTCTCCAAGTGGGTCGAAGCTGATTCCTACGCAAGCATAAAGGATGTTCAAGTCGAACACTTCGTCAGGAAAAAAATCATCTGCAGACACGGGGTCCTCTACGAAATAGTCACCGACAACGGATCCCAGTTCATCTCAACACGTTTTGAAGCCTTCTGCGAGAAGTGGAAAATCCGCCTAAGCAAATCTACGCCAAGATATCCTCAAGGGAACGGGCAAGCCGAAGCAGCCAACAAGACGATCCTCGACGGTCTGAAAAAGAGGCTCGACGCCAAGAAAAGGGCGGTGGGCAGACGAACTCAAAGAGTCCTTTGGTCTCATCGAACAACTCCGCGCCGAGCCACCGGGGAAACTCCATTCGCCTTGGTCTACGGATCGGAGTGCGTAATTCCCCCCGAGGTGGATTTCCCAGGTATTCGACAAAGACTTCTATCAGGACAGGAGGGCTTGAACCACTTAATGATGCTAGATGAGCTCGACCTAATCAACGAAAAGCGCGACCAAGCCTTAATTCGAATCCAGAACTATCAACAAGTAACGGCGCGATACTACAACAAAAACGTTAGTAGCCGAAGATTCAAAGCAGGGGAGCTCGTCCTCCGAAAGGTCTTCCAAAACACTGCCGAGAAGAACGCAGGAAAGCTCGGAGCAAATTGGGAAGGTCCTTACAAGGTCACAAAAGTGGTTCGTCCAGGAGTCTACGAACTCGCGACACTAGCTGACGAAGCGATTCCAAGATCATGGAACGCAATGCATCTAAAGAAGTATTATCACTAAAGCTACAGCACGACCAGCATGAACTACAGAACGGTTTGATCCCTGCAAAGGGTACGTAGGCAGCCCGTCCTCAGACGGGTTCAGCTGTCCCCCCTCCTAAAAAGGGGGGGGAGTGGGTACGTATACACATACCTTCTTTAACTCTACAATTTTAGCTTGCTCATTTAGGAACATCGCCACTTCGGCACATTCTCAGTTCGTTTTGAATCATATACTTATTTCATGTTTACCTTGGATTTCTAGTTTGTTCATTATAGCTTCGGCTAGTTTCTCATTCTTTCTAAATCAGCAACTTATTCTAACAAGTTCGGGTTTTAAAATTCTTTCACTCATCACTTCAAAGAGTAATCATACCACTTCGGCATGATATCATGACCTGATTACCTCGGACCTTAATCGGTCCTCAGTTTCAGTTCGGCAAACTAAGCCTCCGAACGCCTCGTCTCGTTGCTGGCCACAACGGGGCAACAAATACAAAGTTCTCTATACGGACTTTTACCACCTTTCCTAGGACGAGGGTGCAAGTTACATCCTTTAGGGATAAAAATTAAGCGCGCTATACAAATATCAGACCAAAAAACGTATCAGGTCGCCACGGTTTACTATCGCACACGAGAATATAAGTCGAGACTACATCGCTTTCTCTAAAACCGAAGTAAACCCTTAAAACCCAGACAAACATACTCATCCTCTCGGAAACACCGGTCCATAGTCAGATTCAATGAGACTACCAATTCATCCTTGGCTAACAGAAACAAAACGCCTCGTCGTTTACACGGCTCGGCACCATGAAAAGCGAAAACGCCTCGTCGTTTACACGGCTCGGCACCACGCAAAGAAAAAACGCCTTGTCGTTTACACGGCTCGGCACCATGCACAGCGAAAACGCCTCGTCGTTAAATACGGCTCGGCATTGCCAGCAAAAATTTGCCTCGACATTATCACTTAAAAACTTTCCAGCATCACATAGAAGATGTTCCACAAAACTAACTCCCAGCTCGGAATTAAGAATCCAAACGAGATCCTTAAACGACTCAACCCTTAGCCCGTATTTCTATCGATTTCGAAGAATTCGGCTAAGGAGGCAATCAAAATCATCCTCGACACAGCAGTTTTCATCCTCGACAATTTTCTCTAAGCCAGCGGTTTTCACAGATATTTGCACAGATCGCTAAAAATAAGTGCATCAAATCCTAAAACGGCTAAGGAAGAGAGAATATATCCATAAGCAAAAATAAATGTCAGGTGGATAAAGCCGTCCAGGCACCGGTTACATAAAAAGTTCAGAAAGCAGATAAAAATCCTAAGTACAGAAGCATGAAAGACAAAACAGGGAAAAGCAGAGAGTATCAGGCCGCGGACTGCGTTTCACGCTCAGCAAGGAGGTTCGAGAGGACCGGCGTACCCGCGTTCGATCCGTTCGGATCTACGACCCCTAAGTTAGCCACTGTCTCTTCGAGCGGCTCGTTACCAAGGCTGGTGTCGACCGAGTCCGGCGATACGGGCGAGAAAACCAGCTCGCCTCGGATCTTGAAGGCAATGCGCTCATATGCGTCGTCGTTGGCATATTCGCTCTCCCAGCTCTTCAGCTGCGCCTCCTCATCATCGAGCGTCGGGGCGTCTGGTTTCTTCAGGACGGCAATCATCGCAAGGTTTCCCTTGATTTGCCCCAGATTGTTCTCGTCATTTTTGGCCTTCTCGAGCTTGGCCAAACCCTCCTCCACCGTGGCGAGGCGTTCCTGAAACTTCGCCGTAAGCTCTCGCCTCGCCTCCTTTTTCGCCCGCTTGACCTTGGCATCGAACAAGGCGTCCTTGGCCTCGATACGCCTCTTCAGAATCGCCACCTCAGCGCTTTTAGCTCTCCTCGCCTCCTCGATGCGAATGACCGAGGCGGAGACCTTGTCAACGTTGGCGCGCAGAACGATCTTCTCCTCTTGCAGCTTGGACGCCTTGGCCACCGCCTCGTCCAGTTTCCCCTTTGCCGCTGCGGCTTCGTTCTGAGCCTCTTCAAGCTTCGCCTTTGACGCCGCGGTCTCATTTTGGGCCTCGGCCAAGCGACGTTCGACCTTAGACAGGTCCACCTCGTACTCGGCCATCAGGTCGTTATTGGCCGCGACAAACTGCAAAGAACAAACTCGCGTTAAACACTTAGTAAAAATTTGCGAAAATAAAGGAAAGCAAATAAAACGTACCTTGGTACCGCGCTGCCATCACGCCGTATGACCTCGGCCTCCTCAACTTCTCCGGAGTAGGAAGATGCGAGTTCGCGTTATTTACACGCGAGAACATGACGGCAGAGGCGTCGGGGTCGTCAACTTGCACGCGGCGGGGTCCCCGGGCGTCGGCTTCCGCCTCTTCTTGGACGGCTCATCCTTCTGAACAGCAACACCCTTCCCCTTGTCAGCGGCCGAACGTTTTCGGCTCGGGTTATGTTTCTGAACGACTGAAGTCGGGGGCCTCATCGGCTTTGGGAGGGCTAAAATGACGGAGTTCGAAGGAGTTTTGCTCCGCACCGCCGAATCATTCCCGGACGCCTCGAGAATGATTTCGCCGGGTTCTACCTTGGGCGCTGCATCTCTCTCGACCGCCTTGGCAGTGTTGCCTTCTGCGGCTCGGACCATTTCGTCTCCTTCCCGGCTCGGCGGGTCGGGTTGAGGGATGGCCTTGGTTTGCGCTGGAACCGCCTCGGTCTGCGCTTGAACCGCCTCAGCAGCTTGTCTCGCGGCCTCTTCTTCCTCGCACCTCTTCCTTTCCCTGAGAGCGATTATCACCATCTTCTCTCGGGTATCTCTTGAAGAACTGGAGGACGAAGAGCTGACGGGGACTCCGGCAAGGAAGGCTCGCGCTTTTTCCACTCTTTCGAGGGTGAAATTCTTCCTCCAATTAACCTTCCGCGCCAAAAGAGAGTCTCGAACAGTAAAGTGGTCGTCTGGAATCGGGGGAAGAAAGCACCGAACTGCAAAACAAAGCAAAAAAGAAAGCAAACAAGGGAAGAGGATACCAAAAAACAGTTCCGAGCCGAGGCAAAGCTTCGAGTCGGCTACCAAGTGGTCCCCAAGCGGTCTTGGTTCTTTGAACGTAATCCTTGCCGAACAACGCCTCGTTCACCAAGACGTAGAAGAAGCGTTCAGTCCAAAACTGATCCTTGCTGGGAAAACCGCCGATGATCCGTCGCTTCGCCTTGTTGGAAATATAGAATCTATTTCCTTTCGGATCTTTCCTGATTTCCAGCAAGTTCAGCAGGTGATTCAGCTCGATATCAAGTCCGCATTCGAAGCTTCGAACTAAGATGCCAATCATATGCCGTAATCCCCTCGGCATGATTTGCCCAATCAAGATCCCGTGTTTCCAGAGATATTCAAGAATCACTCTGGGGATCGGGAACCAGAGGAAGCAAAGCTCGAAGAACGCCTCGTACAGAGTGAAATGCTTCTCTGGAGGCTTGTCGGCTCGGTCGCTCTTCTCTGGAACGACGAACTCCACCGCCTCGGATATCCCGAAGCGATGCCTCAAGGCCTCGAGCGACTCAAGGGAGCAAAGCGTAGAGCCAGGCGGGTCAGGTTTTTGTCTCTTAACTCGTGGCCCTCGCCCAGATGTGGAAGCGCCTCGGGACGCTATGAGACGTTCCAATTCACGCTTCGCCTCGAAAAGGTCAAAGGGAAATGCCTCCTCGGCCTTAAGTGCGGCGCGATTAATGTCTTCATCAGGAACGGGATCCTGGGGACGGCTCGTCGAAACCGACGGCTCGTCATCCGGAGAGCCGTCATCTGACGGATTTGCATGATTTGACGCCTCGTCAGATGAACGGTTGGAGGGGCTCCGCGAAACAGACGCCTCGGAGGATTCTGTCGTACCTCTCGCCTCGGCATCTACGCGGCTCGGCTTGTAATGAAAAATTGAATCCAACGAATTGTCGGAGCGGCTCGACATAATTTACGACTTGTACAAGAGTTACAACACGACTCGGCGAGCCTCTGCCGGAAAATAAATAAACTAGAGAGAGAAAGAAGAGAGAAGGGAGAGCTACCTTTAGTAAAAACGAGTGAGTCTGGAGATAATGAGGAAGAATGAAGGAGCTCATCCATTTATAGGAAAACCGAAGCGCGTAAATTCCGCGTAAACCTCGGGAAACCGTCCAAACAGCGCGTGGGATCTGCAGTGAAATGACTAGACCGAACTGCGTCGGTCACACGCGCCAATAGATCAAGAGTTTTCTCTCGGAAGACCAACAGTTGGGATACCCAAGTTTTCAGCCGGTATCTTACCAAAGTAAACGCCTCGTCGTTAATGAAATGGCTCGGCATGAACTTTCTCTTGAAACACCTCGTCGTTAACGAAACGGCTCAGCATTAACTCTTTCTCTCGAAATGCCTTGTCGTTAACGAAACAGCTCGACATTAACTCTCTCTCTTGAAACGCCTCGTCGTTAACAGAATGGCTCCGCATTAACTCTTTCTCTCGAAACGCCTCGTCGTTAACGAAACGGCTCGGCACGAACTTTCTCTCGAAACGCCTCGTCGTTAACGAAACGGCTTGGCATTAACTCTCTCTCTCTTGAAACGCCTTGTCGTTAACAAAACGGCTCGGCACGAACTTTCTCTCGAAACGCCTCGCCATTTATTCGGCTCATCATTACCAAACGAAATCGCCTCGACTCATCATTACTAAAACGAAATCGCCTCGTCCTTAACTTGCCTCGGTATCTTCGGTACCTTTCGAAACACGTCGGCACCCTCGGCACTCCTGGGAACGCCTCGGCGTCTTCATTCCCAAAACACCTCATCTGGGCTTACGTCATAACAGCTTGACTCGATGGTTTATCCTACGGTCATGAGTAATGGACCTCGTCACTCTCGCCTCTGAAACTGACGAGCTGGGGGGCTAACTGTTGGGGTCGGTTTTCACCCAAGCAGATAAAACCATCTCAAAATGACTAAGTATGGAAGAAAGATAAGTGGGAGAGCCGTGGTCACCAAGTGGGAGAGCCGTTCTCACCAAGACAAGTGGGAGAGCCTTTCTCACCAAGACAAGTGGGAGAGCCGCGATCACCAAGTGGGAGAGCCGTGAAGATAGACCAGTGGGGAGAGCCGTGAAGAAAGATAGATGGGCCGAGCCGTATCGTAAGAAATGGGCTGAGCCCCTCTCCAACATGCCTGGGCCGAGCCGCGCCTCGGTGAGGTGGACCGGATCATGTCTCGACTAAAATGGCAAGTGGGCCGAGCCGTGGAGAAGTTAGATGGGCCGAGCCGTGGAAAAGTTCAGATGGGCTGAACCAAGGCCTTGAGAGACGAAGCCCATAAGAACCCTAGGTGAAATACAAAGGCGGTGAGCCGCATGAGGCGATAAGAAAATATTCCGAAAATCTCTCTCGAGATTCTCGGCTAGGCGGTTCGCAGAATTAGTATAAATAGATGATGTATACAATTCATTCTGTAACTTTGGCAACCCTAAGCAATAAGAGCTAAATACTTTTACAGCAAGAAAAACTTTCTTTCGATCTTACTGTTTTGGCGATAAACCCTAGAAGTTTCTGATCCCTTAGTTTTCCTTAAACAAATTTCTGGTTGTGCGAGTTTTGGCTCACACAATGAGTTGGCATCAACTGTTTCAGCCCCACACCAAGAAGCATCAGATCACCTTTGTGAACTCTTCCAACATCAATCTTGAAGTAGAAGCTGTGAGAGAATCTTGAGCACATATCTCAGAACTGGATTCCTTATCCAAGAGGACTTAGCTGTTCCAGCTGTGTACTTCCCAGAAGCAATTGATCTCCATAGAAGTTGAACATCATCTTTTCTGAGATTGACCTGGTTGGAGAGAGGAACATTTCTAGGTGTTGAAAACCCAAAAATCTCATTCAATTCTCTGAATGACACTGAATAGTCATTTCCTTTCACAGTAAACTCCACATGTCCAAGCCCATCTCCTTGAAAAATTCTTGAATCCCTTGGGTAGTATATGAAAGCTTCAAAAGAAGCCAAGAACTCTTGAGACTCCTCTTCATAAGCGATCTCTCTCATCTCCAAAAGTGACTCAATACCCATGTTCCCAAGCAATGTTTTGACATCTTCATAGATGCCAATCTTTTTCAGAAAGTCCACATCAGGGAACCTCCCTTGCTGGATCTCTATCTGTTGAAACTTAGCCAGATAATCAGGTGTTTCTGGTTCAGTTTTCTTGATCCTCTTTGATCCCTCTTCAATCCTGCCTTGTGAACCACCAGCTTAGCTGCTTGAGTCACTTTCAGTCTGTTCACTCTCAGATACCACAGCCAACTGTTTCCCCTTCTTCTTGGAACCAGAAGCAACCACCAAAGCTTTCCTTTCATGTCTTGTCCTTTTCGGCGCTGGATCACATTTTCCTTGCTTTGTGGTATTCCTTGCTCCTTGACCTTTTTCTCTTGGCTGTGAAGACCTTGAGACCAAACATTTGCCCTTGGATGCAGTGCCCTTCTTCTTGGCCAGAGAGTTGGTTCTTTCAGTCATCTGCCAAGAGATTCTCAAAAACAATGTTAGTACAAGAACAAGATTCACAAAATTCTCCAAAATTTTGAAAAAAAATTGTTGCAAGAATCGATTTTAAAACCACATGAACAGGTTTCTCAAGCCAAGAATCAATCCAATAAGTTCATAGCAATGCAAAAACAAGAGTGCAAAGCAAGGAGTCAGCAAGAAACCAATTCATCTCTTTTTTTTTTTTTTTTTTTAAATCGATTTTTTTCATGAATTACTTGCAACAATTTTCAAAACTCAAGAACAAGGAATCACCAACAAATTGCTCTGTTTTCCAAGACTATCTAGCATCCTATCATTTATAAAAATAATCCCAAGGTCTAAAACAACCTATCAAAATCGATTCCACACCTTGAAGTTCAAAAATCACCATTGAAGAACATGGAAAAAGGTGAATTTTAACAAAGTGAAATACCTTGGGATTAAGATGCAACGAGTTCGAAATGCAATCAGGATGATGTTAACAACTCAAAAACGAGTTCAGAGCACTTTGAATCAAAAAATTTGGTGGAGAAATGAGAGAGATATGATGAAAACAATGGAGAGAAATGAGAGAAAGAGTTGCAAACTCGGGTTTATGGTGAGGAAGAGAGAGTGTGGGACAGGGTCAAGCCTTTGGACTGGTGGTCAATAGATCTATTTTGACCAGTCAAGGCTTTGACCCGTCCTTTTCTCGTTGACCAGCCTCTTTTCTCTCCTTGTGCGACCTGGAAACGCCGGGACCGAGCCGCACGACCGTCTCGGTGTAGAACCGGAAATGTTTTTTGTGCGACCTGGTCACTCTCTTTCTATTCCGCACGCCCAAGCCGCAGTAAAAGTGCTTCAACATGGTTTTATCTCTTCTTCATGCTGCGACTTGGTCTCCTTGCTCCCAACTAGCACGCCCAACTCGGAGTGTATTGCGGATGGACATGCGGCTTAACTCCTTTGTTCCCAGGCCGCATGGCCATCTAGCAGGGTTTGGGACATAGCTACCTTGGGGTCCTTTCTTTTTTTGTGCGGCCTGGTCTCTATGCTTCCCAGGTAGCACGCCCAACTCGGAGTGAATTGCGATCATATGTGCTACCTAACTCCTTTGTTCCCAGGCCGCAGCTCCTACATCGCAGATCTTGGGACTTAATCACTTCGGCCTTTCTCCTCTTGGTGCGGCCTGGCTCCTCTGTTCCTAGCCAGCACGCCTAACCCGGAGTGAATTGCGAAACACAGTGCGGTTTGGTTTCCATTTGTCCCAGGCCGCAGCTCCTACATCGCAGATCTTGGGACTTTATCACTTCGTCCTTTCTCCTTTTGGTGCGGCCTGGCTCCTCTGTTCCTAGCCCGCACGCCTAACCCGGAGTGATTTGCGAGTCTTCATGCGGCCAGGACTCCTCTCTTCTAACCCGCAGCACCAGCTAGCACAACCTCGGACTTAGACATTTTGGACTTCTTCTGTTTGGTGCGGCCTGGTCTTCTCTTTTCCCAGGTCGCAGGCCCAACTCGGAGTGAATTGCGAGTGGACGTGCGGGTTAAACTCTTGGACATCAGCTAGCACACCCAACACGCAGGATTTTCCACTTAGTCACCTTGGCCCCTTCTTCTCCTTTGTGCGGCCTAGTCCTCTTTCACCAGGTAGCACGCCCAGGCCGGTGTAAATTACGAGTCCTGCTGCGATCTGGGCTCTTCTTGATCCAAACCGCACACCCAGGTAGCACTCAAGCGTCCTCCAAGTTTTTCAGACCTTAAACACTTCTCTCAGCCCTCTCACATGCTCCATTCCATTTATCACTAAGCCATGGCCTCCAAAAATCACCTAGAACCTGAGACCAACTCACAAAACCCATCAAAAAGTTCTAAAACATAAAAGAAAAGAAAAGAAATCAAAAGAACTATGTACAAAGATAAGCTTGGGGTGTCTCCCAAGAGCACTTTGTTTAAAGTCTCTAAGTTTGACTTTGGAAACCTGTTTAACAGGCTGGTGGTGGATCAAGAAGGGGAACTGATGTAGCTTCCTCCTTCCCTTGTGAAACTAAGTAATGTTTGATTCTTTGGCCATTTACCACAAACTCTTGACCATTCTTCCCTTCTAACACAACAGCTCCATATGGCCTCACCTCAAGAACTTTAAAGGGACCAGACCATCTAGACTTAAGTTTTCCTAGAAACAACTTAAGCCTAGAGTTGAACAGCAACACTAGATCTCCTTCCTTGAACTCCCTTTTCAGAATCTTTTGGTCATGCAGAGCCTTGGTCTTTTCTTTATAAATCTTTGAACTCTCAAAAGCCCCAAGCCTTATCTCTTCAAGTTCATGGAGTTGAATGACCCTCTTCTCTTGAGCTGTCTTGATATCAAAGTTAAGCAGCTTCACAGCCTACAAAGCCTTGTACTCCAACTCAACAGGAAGGTGGCAGCTCTTCCCATATAGTAGATTGAAAGGTGAT